TTATGTTATTAAAATGAATTTCATCTGCTTCATTTTTACTTTTTTTAATGTAGCACTTAGAAAATCACATATATTATTACACATATATTTCTACTGGACAGCACTGTTCTAAAAGATTACCAGTATTACTGATAATATGTTAATTATTAAGTATGCCATAGAGATCTCTAATAATAAATGGAATTATAAACATATATCAAGGAGGTAAAATGGGTTACTTCTTTATTTACAGTCATTACATGGTGTTTATTCCAATAACAGACATTTGTCGAGTACAGTTGATTCTTGAACAACACAGATTTGAACTGCGTGTGTCCACTTATATGCAGATTTCTTTCAGTAAATATATACATAACACTTCACAGCACACAGGTGGTTGAATCCGAGGACGTGCAACCACGGATACAGAAGGCCAACTGCAAAGTTACATGCAGATTTTCAACTGTGCAGAGGATCAGCGCCCCTAACCCCCTGAGTTGTTCAAGGATCAACTGTAGTGTATTTTATTAAACTCTACCAACTACATTGCACACTAACATCTCCACTGATTCACTGCATTTGTTACAAATAAAGAGTGCAGACATCGTCAGGTTCGTGGTTACAAAGCTCTCAGAACACTTTAGACACTGGCAGGTTTCAGGGTACCTCTGCGGAGCATGTGTTCCCCCTGCAGCAGCTGCACTATGGCTGTCTGTGTGGCAGGTACGATAATGATGCTTCCATCTTCACGGCCGCAAACGAGTCGTCCATGCGCTGGTATGTACACACTTGCAGTTACCTTAAGAGGTTCATTACTGTTGGGAATCACACTCAGCTGATCTATAATTCCAGCAGGACAAGGATTCAGTCTGTCAAATGCTTCTTGCAAACTAATAGAAGTTGTCATTTCCAGCCCTGTGGGGGTTTTGTTTTGTATAAAGGAAAAACATTTATGCATGTTAGAACAAAAAATTAAATATATAAAAATTAACGTGCTTATAGTTGATTTAATAATATGCCAAAGAATAATAACTGTCGTTAACTATAATTCTAAGAAGAAAATGACGTATGTACATTATGAATTTGCTATTCAGTGGTTAGTATTCAGGTGGTTAAATGAAAAGAACTGAGAAATCACAGCACATGATTTACTATTACCTCCTTTGCCTTCCTGTTTATCGGGTGTGTCTGATATGTTCCAAATATTCAACCTGCCAGAAGAATCACCCTGAATTAATAATTTGTGGAAGTATTCCTTGCATCCATAGAAGAACCGAGTAACAGGAGGACAAATTAGCAACTGCAAAAAAAAATTGTTCCGATATCTTTAGCCATATTTTTAATAAAAATATTTCACACGTTAACATTTCTTCAGATTAGGATGTTAAGTACTTTGTCTCGGTATCAAAGTAAACAAAAAAAGTACATTTATAGAAATGAGTACTCAACAATATTTAATTAATTTTGTAGCACTAATACACATGTCAGCTAATACTCAAATCCAGTACATCGTATAACACAAACATTCAAAGAAATGAAAACTACATTTATACCCTTTCTCTAGAATTAATACTTATATTCTTTTTTTCCTGCTTTATAAAAACTGATTATTTGGGGGGAGGGTATAGCTCAGTAGTAGACTGCGTGCCTAGCATGCACAAGGTCCCGGGTTCAATCCCCAGTACCTTCACTAAAAAATAAATAAATAATTTTAAAAACCGATTACGCACTGCCATGCAATTATTTAATTGTCTGCTATTAAGCAACTAATACAAAGATATACCACTCTTTACCAAAAAGGAAAGTCTCCACTTGAAAGGTCAAAAGGGGAGAACTGGCTAATCTGAGCTTTCTGCCTGTCCCTGATTAGTTTAGTTTTGCTGCTATTCCTAGTGACTATCAAAGTGGTAGAAATAGAGGACTCCTTTTTAATTTTTAATTAGAATATTCTTCAGCTAACAGCACAACACTTTACTTGGTCACATTTACATAATCCACTTAAACCTAGCCTGATACGTTAGCTGAAAACCGCTAGGAACAGAAACCACTCATTAGGGTCTCATGTGTACTTTCATTTTTAAAACAAATTATTTTTCTGTTTAAGATCCTGTGCCTCACATGAGATCACTTATTTCAAAATATTAAACAGTGGTAGCCTCCTAAATTTAAAATTTAGATTATTAATGTACAAAAACTTGAGTATTAAAGCATAGACACTTATCCTGAAAAGGAGTGAAAAACAGACTTCAGTGTTTACAGTTATAGTTAACAAATAATCTATTTACCATATTCAGTATTAGTTGTTTCTTTAAGAGCACTAGCTTATAGAAATTACATGCATTAAGCATAATCAATTATTTGATTTAACTTAACGTCTGAAAATGACTAAAAGTTTTAATGGATAAACAACATGCTTAACCAGGAAAAGTTGCCACAACAGTTGTAACAACCAGTATTCCATATTTTAATGTGAATCTCACACCACATAACACATGTATTTTAATTTAAAATGTATTAGGGAGCTGATACTTAAAGAAACGTGATTTAAAAAAAGAAATGTGCTATGGATTTGCTTTATTTTATGTATTTTTTTACATGTCATTATCCCTTAGTTTAAACAGAAGGGACTGTCTAGTTTGGAAAGCAGTAAGTAGGAGTTTAAGTTAAGAGAAAAAGGGGCAGGTTATAGAGAACCTTAACTGTACAGACATGTCTACATTCTGTATATTCAAAATATTCACAGAAAAAATAATTCTCTCCCTTCACCATCTTCTCCACATAAAGATGGAACAAAATGTTCAAAACGAAAAAGCCATGGAAACCCAGAACATAAGCAAAGGAAACTGTATTTCTAAAACCAGTTTCTTTATTAGTACTCAAAGAATATAGAGTTGGAAATCTAGTACTAAGCATATTTCAACTTTAAATTGATTTAAGTAGGTTTTTAGAAATCATAATAAACTTTGGGGTTTTTTTAGATAAGAAATGTCTTTATTTCTTATTTATAATCCTAATGATTTAAATCACAATGCCTTGTTCAAATAATGGGGAGATATCGCAATGCCTTGTTCAAATAATGAACTATTATTAGTCACCATTACTACATAATTATTTTTATCCTTCTAAAATCACATCTGTCATTATGTTTATAACTGCATGGTAATGTAAAACAATTTATATCATCAATATGAATTTCACTGAAAAGTCATTGCCACTTTGTTGTCAGTATAAAATTATTTTTACTCTTAGAGAAAGGTGAATGCTCTATTAGGGGCATATTATATGTAAATCTAAAAATTGTGCTAATAATGACCATGTTAAAATGTTTTACATCATCAAACAGTGCCTCGAATTGTACTGAGTCTTTCAAATGCTTAGCTACCTAAAGACGCCAATAAATATAGTTGTGAAAATTTTTCAATGTAACTACCAATTATAAATGATAGAATTTTACCTCTTTATCTGTTCGATCCAAGAGGCTATGTTGTACAGGAGGAATTAAATTTTCAACTGCTTTCCCCACATCACTGCGGAATGAATCACTAGCTGGAAGGCAACTGAAAATGACAAAAATATAACATACAGTAAAAATACTGACATTAAATATTTTATCATACCACATGATGAGGTTTTTCTGACAGCGGACAAAACATGGATTTTTTAAGTTATGCTTAATCTAACACAGGCATTAAATTAGTTAATGTTATTAGAATACCCTACTTCAAATAAAAATCCACTTAATTTTTGTGCTTAGAAGTTAAACTGTCATTACAAATCTAACTTCTCAAATGTTTTACCTAAATGAAATATTTATACTTTCTATATTTTTATACTTTGAGATTACAACCCAAATTTGGAATCTTTTTCTTTTGATTAAAGTTCTTATTATTTATTAAATACCTGGCAGGTAGTTTGTAAATATAACTTTGCCCATTTTCAGTCCAAATGATGACCTTGTCTGCGGACACAAAGTCACCTCCAGTCCACGTCTGCCCGTTTTCACTGGGTCCTGAACACAGCAGGGAGTAGTCACCAGCATCGAAGACCTGCGAGGAATAAGAAATTCACAGTCTGGTCCATGTTGGTGTCATTTAAGTAAAATGCAGTGACATTTCAATTAAAAATAAATAAAAACTTCTGGAAATATATTTAAGAACCTCAGGCCTTTACAGTTCGCTACCGCAGTTAAAGACATTTTGAGCACTGGGGCAGGGAAAGCACCATGAGGTGCCCAGCTGGGTGCGGCCTCCGGCGGTCGCGCAGCAGACCGTGACGAGTGGGGCAAGGGTGCGTCCCTACACACAGACAGGAACCCTCAGCCCTTCGCATCTAAAGGGAGGAGCACGCCCCCCAAAATGACAAGCAACCAACCCCTAGAATGCATGGCTATGACTCCTGTTTTATTTCTATGTCCAGTAACAATGTTTCCAACCAAAAACTCTACCACCAGAGTATCTCCTCCTTAACAGGGGATTAGCTCACTTTACCCTAATTCACCAATGTGTTAAAATAGTGTAAATAGAAAGTTAACAGACTCAGTTTTATTGTTAATAATTCTCACATATAAAAGCCAAGTCCCTATAATTTCATCAGCAAAACAGGCTACTGACCTTCTGGGGCCTCACATTAATAAGACACATCAAAGTTTGCAAAGTGCCTTTACAATCATTTTCTCATAGACCCTTACAATCACTGCAGGAGGCAGGCAGGCAGGTACTGCTACGAACAAAAACCTGACACAATTGAGGGCTACATCACCTGCTCAAGGTCACGCGTCCAGTAAGTGACAGAGCTGGGAGTAAAACCTTTGTCTTATAACATTTTTCTACCACTCTCAGTTTTCTGATAAAAGTGCATTCTGTATTGTTAAAACACTTCCCCAGGAGGAATGAGCAATTCAATGGCCCAGAGTTTTTATTTTATTTTTCTTTAAGGAAACAACAATGAAGTTGCTTATAAAAAGCCTTGAAATTGGAATAAATCTTGGCAGAATTTACCATGATTTGCTATAATACTTACCAGTATATAATATTAGCACTACTAGAAGAAACAAGAAAAGCTCTGGAATAAAAATGAAATTGTCTAACTAATGTCTGCAGCCAACGATCAGTAGGACCTGAGGCCTGTCAAACACCAACTGAATAAGCTTGGAAGCGGATCTTCCCCTAAGTAAGCCTTGGATTGAGACGGTCGTGCTGGTCAAAACCTTGATCGACGACTGTGAGAGACCCTGGGCCGGAGGCACCCAGCTAAGCCACGTCTGGCTTTCTGACCCACAGAAACTCAGTGATGATATATATATATTTTTGTTTGAAACCCTAATGTCTGAAGTAGTTTGTTAAACAGAAATAGGTAACTAATATACCACCTCTCAGAGAGCTGTGATGATTAAAAAAAATAATACACGGAAAGCTTTGAAAACTATGCTAGGCATAGAGCAAGTCATCAAACTCGCTGACTCTTCTTCTATCATGGAAATTGCAAAGTCTGGCAACGTGGAAGTAATGCACTCCTCCACCACTGGCTCTCAAGAGCCAGAAGGCCTTCCCGACTCCAAAATGTCAGATAAAAATGGCAACTGGGGATAACAACAACCTACAAAGATACGTCCAGCCTGCAGAAAACTCACTAACCATTGCTCACGCTGGTACTGACAGGACAAGGAATAAAACAGTAGCAAAAGGTAGGAGTTAAGGTCAACAGAACTAATAGTTATTAACTGACTCACTCTATGAACCCAAACAAAAAAGACAACTATGTATAGCCAGATCCCATACCTCAAAATATGATATCAAACTCAGACATGAATTCCAAGCAGTTAAAACATTCTACCACCAAGCTGCTCCTACAGTCATCTTTGGAAGTCTGACAAGCCAACATCATGAAGAGTAAAAACACAATTTCCTACTTGTGTAGTTATCTTACCCTCCAATACTTGGAGCACACGACCAAAAGTGACCTTTGTGTAAATGCACAAAAAGAGATGCTTTGGCAATTCTGACAGTAAATTGGTTTGGATTCCTCCTCAAATATTGGCTCAGTATCCTAAAAAGAGAAAGACTTGTTAAAACTTTAGGATTGGCTTGGTTGTCAATTAAAATGATCACACAATGATAAAGAAAACGAAATAAAAGCAACACTTGATATGTTCATCATTTTAGCCCCTCATATAAGGTAGTAAAAAGCAGCAAAAACACACTCTAAAATCACCTGGGCACAACATCTTTGCTACAAAGCTACTCAAGATTAAAATACCAATGAGAGTCAGAATCACCACTGGCAATGACAGATAATAAAAATTTGAGGCAATCCTAATTCTTGTAGTTACACGTGCTCGTTGGTTAAAAAAAAAAAATCAGTCCTCCAGTTTCTCCCAGATTCAACGTCTAAAAATTCCCTAAGGAAAGAGATTAGTATCAATATTGCCAGAAAATTGATATGCCTTTCTTTAATCTTTTTTTTTCTTTTTGGTGGGGGAGGTAATTAGGTTTATTTATTTATTCTTAGAGGAGGCACTGGGGATTGAACCCGGGACCTCAGGCATGCTAAGCATGCGCTCTGCCCATGTGAGCTATACCCTCCCCCTGATCTGCCTTTCTTACTGATAAAAAGTAACAAGGAATTCAAGTCCAAAACACTCGTAGAACTCAAATCAACTTCCTATCCACTTTCTGGCAGTGTGTTTTAGTTTTCCCCCTCAAGCTAACTACCTTCTAACTTCAAATTTAGACAGAGGCCTTTGTCTGTTTCTCTACTTCATATCGTGTACAATATGTTTCTCTACTTTGTATCCTTGATAAAGCAGATGTCTACCATCAAAAGGGAAAAAAATTATTCATGTACAGAGACAGCATACTAGAGGAATCTTTTATACTATGTCAAGGCTACTGAAAAGAATAACGTTGTCTTTTCTTTTTAAGTGAAAACGGGAATCTGTAGTACAATGTAAGACCCCATAAGAACAAAAACAGAGAAGTCACTCCCAGTCCCATTTGGCTCACCTGCATGCCACTTATTTCAGAGGTAACAATCCACACCTTCAAGATGCCCGTCACTGAGAGCGCTACCACAGTGTCCTCTATGCAGAGAGGGAGGAAGCCAGTTACAAGCACAATATGCTTTCTTGCTAAATCGCAACATGGTTGCAACAGTGACATGGGACACATTTGCTTTAATGACGTTAATTAATATCATGATTTACAATAGAATAAAAACAATTCTATATTTTATGAGATTTCAGGAAACAGATTTTAAAACACAAGTTAATGGAGATGATCAAAAATTTGGAGTTCAAGGAAAAGGTGTTTTTAGCTCCTGGATTTTTTTTTTTCTAATCAATACATTTTAATAATTTCAAATATTCTTCATTACAGTGTTAACATATAACTTTTATTCTTCAGAATTCACTTTTATCATTTATCACAGATGAGCAGAGTCTCTTTATCTCTTCAGGGCACACGTTTCCCCCTTTCCCACCTACCTTGCCTGCCTTTGAGACATTTTGTTGCACACTACACTCTCCACAGATGTGATCAAGAGAAAGACGTGCTACAAAAACCTAAATTCATAAGCTTTGGGTAGAGGAGCAATCACCACACAATTGTGATATACGTGAACTTGGAGAGGGAGGGGAACCGTGACTCAACGCGGAAGTTCCTAGGGGCACACTGACCTTGTGTTCGGTGGGATCGGATAATACTCATGGAGCTAATCCAGTCTGGAGCTATCTTTGATACCAAGGAGTACAGCACCTCAAGGCTGGTGGCGTCCACAACGAGGATTTCAGGATAATGGCCGTGGCACAGGAGCCTGCCTTCCTTCTGATTTCCCACAGAGAACTGGTAGAACTAAAAGGAAAAAGATTTGTAAATGCTTTCCTTTACTTTAGACACTTGATTCACTTGCATTCGCCAAGCTTATGATGCTCAGTTTCTTCAGTGATATTTCCAGACAGGTACAACACGTTATAGATTATACGCACCTATGTGCACATGTATGCATCCATCAAGTTACATTAATTTCAAAATATTTAACAAAAATTATTCTTTTCCTAACATCTGATCCTCCTCCTTGAAGTATTTTAGAGCAGAATTTATGATAATTCTTCTTTTTCATCCTCCTGCAGGATCTAAAACAGGAGTGCTGAATAAATTAATAAAATATTTGAATAAAACCAGCTTCACAAATCAAAGCAAAAGGGTAGCTTAGGTGGATCACAAATATAATATGAGTTTTAGGTGAATGGCAATAAGTGAGTATAGGCTTCTAATTACTAGTTATAACCAAAAAAAAAATTTAGAAGCAAAGATGCTTTTAAAATACAATCAGAAGTGAATTCTGAATAATCTGTGTTGTTTTAGTATGTGTGACAACCATTGTAAAACCATTCTCACACTGCACATTTACACCCTGTGAAAGAAAAACAGGAAGAATCAATACAATCATGTCACTCATGCCAAGAATAACTCAAAAGGATAAGATGGGTTTCCATCAACCAAAAAGCAGAGAAAGAATAACTATCAAAACAAGACTAACAACTTATCATAGGGCCTGTCTTCCCTTGGCCTCAAAAAAAAAAGCAACTCTCTTAGAGGAATGATTCTCCCAGAGGATTTTTAGGAGGTGAAGATACACAGTACCCAGACTACCACTTTCCAAGGGACTGGACCTTATGCAAATCACGTGAGGGCAAGCTGGACACTGCGCAAAGGGCCACACCGTAACCACTCCACAGCTGGGGAAATAAGAAACTCGGTCTGCTTCCCATCCTCGTCAGTCCCATGCTCAGAGCTCAATGCTGTATGTGAAGGAAGACAATCTTTTCTCAACTATGGAGCACGCTGTACGTGGAGTATATCTTCTTAAACACATACACTGATCACAGAGCACAGTAACTCAGCGCAAGGTAGCATGACTAAAATTCCCAAACGGGGTCTAAGAAAATGCAGACTAGCACAGAGGGCATCTCCAGATCTCAGAAGGTTGATCCAAAAGACATGACACGCAATCTGGGCTCCCAGGGACTGCCAGGCACTCGCATATAATAATGTGACCGTCAGTAGCCTTGACCCACATAAGGGGAGGAGGTGTAAAGGAGAAAGAGATGGCTGCAGAGAATCAGCCTTTGTCAGTGTTCATCCAACAGCAGCCAGGAAAGACATGTGCACCGCCGTCTTGAGGGAAGGGCTCTCCTCTGCGGGCAAGGATATCTTAGTAGACCTGCCTGCCTAAGTGCCTCTTGCTTTTGCTTTAAAGTTATACTCCCAATCTTCTGAACACTGATTTAATGTGTTCAAGACACTTTGATGTGGGCAAAGAAGGTGTCCTTAATGGAGAAATAGGCTTTCCAAATATTAAAAAGGAATGCTCCCATGTGATGATTCAATAAGTTGGCATTTCCTTGTGATTTCAGTAACTGCCAGTATCATCAAGGTTTATCATTTCCATGTACATAAAAAACAACCTGCTTCTGGACCTGAGAGGGTGAGGATCACATGGGAAACAATTGCCACACACTAGTAAATGTGCCAAAAAGGCGTGACTTCTGTTAATCAAGGCTTAATACGGAATCTAATAAATAGCAGGCACTAAAAATACATTTAATAAATACAGATAATTTTTTCTAAGATACACAGCACTTTTAAAGTGTAAAATTATACAATAGTCAAAATATTTATATCCAATGAGTTTGATATTTATACACAATTTTTCAACTATAATAAATTATAAAGTCAATGAATCTAAATGATTTTATTCCTTTTCCCTTTACAAACCTTGAAGATTCTTCATATGATTAAAAAAATTATACATGCCCTTTAAATAAAAAGCATATGCCCTTAACAGTATCGAAGAAGCAGTATTTAAAAGGCCTTTGCCAGGGCAAGAAATGGTCACTAAAGGTCTACATCACACCCACCACCACCTCCCTCCAGACATTTTCCATTGCTTTTCTAATTTGTGTTAGCACAGAAGATTTTCTTCCTCAACAAATGATTTTATTTGCTTATTTTAAGGAAGACAGTAGGATATACAAGAAAGAACAGAGTCCCTACAGTCAGACAAAGCTGATTTGGGATCCTAGTGGCAGGAATGACTCACTACCAGACTAAGGCAAGTCATCTGATCACTCTGGCTCTCAGCTTCGTTATATGTAAGATGATACTCTCCTATCTAATTTGTAAGAATACTGCGAGGACTGAGTGAGGCATCATACAAGAAACGCCTATATAATATTTCCTAAAAGAGTTCTCTTCTCTTCTCTTCACTCTCCTTCCCCGAGAACATAAACCACCTTTTCTATATACCTTGTAATTCTCCCAACACTCAACACTCAATGATGAGTAAACTGAAGCACGAAGAATTTGACAATTATGAAAGAATAAGGAAGAATACCAGGAATGTTACATGAGAAGCTATCAATTCCTGTAAGCCAGGCATATGAAATAGTCATTTTTTCTGCAGAGTTGTGAAGGCAAAACATGTATCCAAGGACCAACTGCACAAACAATGAAAAAGGACCATCCAAAAAGTGTACTGTGCCAATCACAAGTGGAATCATAAAGGCTTTAGCAAGAGACAGTTTCATTATTGAGGATGTAGAACACTTACCCAGCCAGTAACGGGGCTCTTACTTGGATGCCCAGTAGAGCCAGAAAGAGCAGAAGCAGCAGTGGCAATGGCTTACCTTACATCTTCCCCCATCAGTCTCCTCCCCTTTCATTTTCCTCTCCCCTTAGACCATTTTTTTGAGGAAATGTTTACTACTCTAACTCTAGTCTTTTTGTCATATTACCCACTCTTACCTATTTTTCATACAAAAATATAGGCTCAATGTTTAAAATAACATTTTTAAAATTGTCCACCTGAAATAAATTGTGCTGACTTGGATAAGTTACAGAAATAGATACTAACCTGTATGCCAGTGTGTGTGCAAGCTAATTTTGTGAATTCAATACATCTGCCATCATTCACATCCCAGAGGCACATCTCTCTATAAAACAGAATAACAGCTAACTTTAAATCTGAGTTTTAAAAGCACTGTTCAACTTTGTCACAGTGGTTTAAAATTAACCTTCCAGTACAAGTGATATATTTCAGAAAAAGGAACATATAGTCATTATTGCCGTTCACCCACCATCCTAAACTACCCTCCAATCTAACAACCCCCCCACCTCAGTCCACATTCTTTCTGGGCACGTTGTAGGGTTGCACTTCCTGGCTGCCCCTTTAGGGGGTGGAGTCTTGAGAGTAGTTCCAGCCAGAACTGATATGAGACTTGCCAGAACTCTCCTCTTCCCCAGCCTCCACTCCAGGCAGTGGCTGCTCCCTCACCCTCAGTCTCAGAGTAAGGATAATGAGGAAGCAGAGACTAGCCCCAAGTGATATATGAAGGGCAAGTGACAAACACAAGAAATAAACTTTTAATTTAAGCCACTGACATTTTCCACTGGTTATCAACATAGCTAGAAAATTTAGCACTGCAAAAAAACAAAACTGAAAGTCAACTGAATTTCATATCTTTGCAAATTAAATACAATACTCCAGTTCTGATTCTGTATTTATTGCAGAAGTTTTATTGAGTGCATGCCAAAAAAAAGCTTTATCTCAAATTAAAGATACAACATTCAAAATCAGAAATGTCAATATGCCTTGCCTTTTAAAAAGATAAGATTTATTTAACAGAAGACAACAGTAATAAAATGCAATGATCTTGATATTACTGGGGTTTTCTTTAGGATAACTTTCCCTATATCTTATATGGTATAAATTTTTCAAAGGACACTGACTTGATCTACTTGGAATATGCATTCTAATATGAATTACCCAGTAACTGACCAAAAGGTACTATATTTTTACCTGATGCTGCCTCCAGTTATAGAAGGTTCTTTACAAATTCATAAATTATGGGAAGTAGAAGGAACAACTTTCTAAATAATTCTCTTCCAGGCTCCCAACTATCTTTAATAACATATTATGTAAATATACAATTTTCTAAACAACATAAAAGCTTGTTTTTTTTAATTCCCCACACTCTGGACAACTGCTGTCCAATGACCTACATCTCCAAAAGCAAGTTATTATTGCAAGACTCAGGAAGTTAGTGTATTAACATACATCAGTATAACTGTATGAACTTTTAAATGGCTTCATCTTCCAAATTTATGCTAGCCTAGCATCACTGAGGTTTTTTAAAACCCTCAAAGTTGTCTGCCAACTCAGTAAAAATGCCATGGAGATTAATGACCATGCTTTAACTTTAATGGTACTCTGAATTTCTCAAAAGCAAGGCAAAGACATAATCATAAATTACAATAAAGGTATTATAAAAATCACTAATAAAGATAAAATTCATTTTTAAAACATATTTCAAATCTCTTTAAGTTGAGCCAACTGAGGCATTTATTTAAAAGATATTCCAAAAGAAAAGAAAAAAATTCCCTACTTATTGTGACACTGGTAGTATTTGCAATATAGACTCATAAGGAGAAAAGTGAATAAGAAAACACTTACCCACTCTCAGATGCACTCACAATATACTGTTTGTCACTAGAAGCACAAGCTTTAGACAAGCAGGTGATTGAAGCTGTGTGACCAAACAACAGGGCTCGAGGATTCACCTAGAAATACACAAATACGTTGATATAAGTACCTAATTTTTAAAAAGTAATCATTTTTAGGAATCCTATTAAATATTCAATATAAATATACAGATACAGATTTGAGAAGAATTGCTCAGAACACCAAAAACTAAGGGCAGAAAAACAGTGATCCCCCACCAATCTAACGCCAACAATTACCCCACCAAGTTCTCAGGCCAAAAGTGAAAAAAAAGAGGTGACATTACTTGCCCAATTTCATACAGAGAGTGATGGAACCAGAATGCAAACCAGGGCAGTGTCAAGCACTTAGATACAGTACACTGAGAAATCAGGTTAAGGACATAAATTAGTATAAAAAGTAAAATAGTTTAACCTTACTTATTTTTAAAATAATACTTTCCATGATATGAAAGCATGTTTATCTCTAGACTGACATCCCCAAACGTAAAAAATATAGGACAAGCACCCTACTGAATGCTGAGGCCAATGCTAATTATCAGGAACTAAGAGTGACCTCCACAGACTAATGATCTAGTGACATAGTGACTTATAGAAAGGATGACTTAATACCTACTCTTCCAAAATAGTCTGGCAATCAGCCTCCAAATTCATCTCCTTTGTACCAAGTGTCAGGCTATCACTTCAGGTTACTTCAGGGCCTTAGGTTATGTCAGGATGCATTTCTTAATTAAATATTTAATGCAACCAAATATTATTTATAAGATGTACAAGATATAAAAAATATGTAACCATATACTGAATACCCAGTTTAAAAAAAATAGAATTTGATCAATACTTTTAAAGCCCTTTTGTACCTCTCACAATATCCATTTTGGAAACAATTTATCCTAATTCATTAGAAAAACTTTTTTTAACTTTTTTTTTATTGAGTTATAGTCATTTTACAATGTTGTGTCAATTTCCAGTGTAGAACACAAGTTTTCAGTTACACATGAACATACATATATTCATTGTTGCATTCTTTTTCGCTGTGAGCTACCACAAGATCTTGTATATATTTCCCTGTGCTATACAGAAAAGCTAAATTGTTCCAAATTAAATATGCCATGAGAAGAGTACTGAGATTTTTCTATAGTTCTCGTCTGTGACTACTGAAGCAATTTTCCAAATCAAAATCATCTTAGCCATCTTCTGCATAGTTATAATCAAAAGAAAAAGACAACCACTGTTTGTGGTTAGAATAGGCCTAGAATTTTCTCATAAATCCAAATTTTCTCATACATCCAATCCCATTTCTATGCAGAGACTCCTCCACTGGAAAATATGTTCTTGGTCAATTCTCTAATGTCCCCCAGGAAAATCAAATTCCCCAATTGTAGGTTTTATTTTCAATGTACATGGCTTTGCTAGAAAATTCCATTTGTAGCCATAATAGAGTGACTAGAACTGGACGGTACTCCCACCAAAATCTAAAATAATGAACAAAAATCACAGAATGAAGTATAAAAGCCAAATAATCATTGCAATAAAGGCAAAAAAAGCATCTGACAAAATTCAGTATCCTTTCATGATGAACAACTCTCAACAAACTGGGTACAGAAGGAGCGCACCGCCCCATAATGAAGACCGCGTAGGACAAGCCCACCACGATAACATGCTCAACAGTAAGAAGCTAAAAGCCTTTTCCCTAAATGTTCTAAATCTGACTGTGATGATGGCTGTGCAACTGTGAACAGAGTAAAAATCATTACATTGTATACTTTGAATGAGTTAATTGTATGACATCTAAATTTTATCTCAATAAGATTGTTCCCCCCCAAAAAAACTACTTAACAAATCAACTTTCTAGCCCCTATATTCCACACCAGCTACCACCCTTTCTCTGTTCCCCCTTACGGGAAGACTCTTGGGGAGAAGGGAGGTTAAAATATGGGAAAATACAGTGTGTCCACAGAGAGGGCCCAGGAGCAGAGCAAAGGGAGCACTCGCAGCAATGAAGAATGGCAGTTAAATACACGATGACTTTTAAAATAAATACAACAAAATGTACATCTTACAAAAAGTTTTGCTCTCTTCAAGACAGTCACCTTAGAAGGCATAAACATTCAAAACTGTTTTTTTAATATCTTTTTGGAAACCTCCTTTAACATGGATAGAAATCTTTTGAAAAACCTCAGATGTAACCTACTATGCCACTTATGGTAGTTATTACAATTCAAAATAGCCGAAAGCCAGCAGAAGTCAATTCTGATGAATAATGTAAATAATCAATCTGCAATTACCAATTTTAGTCAAAATGTATCCCACAGAAACTAAACTGTAACGCCAAGTCTTATTCTGGATCTGTGTTGTTTTGTATTAAGTAGTTTCTTGTATGTGAAAAGTGCAATCAGCATTTCAAATACTCACTTCCAAGTCTACTGAAAGATCCCAGAGACATATTTGTCCATCATGGCATCCAGTCACGATCGTGGCCCCATCATCTGTCAAAAGCACTGCTGAGATGCAGTGCGTTGGTGCTTTGCGACCCCAAAGAACAATGGGTAGAACAAGGCTGTTTCCGGCCATTGTGCTTTCAAACCTGGAAATGTTATAAGAATGATGTCAAATATTACAATATTTCCTTCTAAAACATATCATACATTGTCATTATGAAGCCAACTTGAAATTCCCAAGTGCCAAAAATTCCTTTAAACATTGTATATAAATAAAAGACACATATATAAAAATATATAAAATCTAATTAAAATCTCACTCCTTACAACAAATCACGCAGTGAGTACTACTCACTTCTCTTTCACACATAAAGACAGTGAGTCATGAAGAGTCACAAAGCGAAAAGTAAAGAGCCCCACTCAGAACCCAGGTGGCCTGACTGAGACCCTGCGGTCTTACTCACTCTGCTTTGCTACCAGTGGCAAATGAGATCTCCAAATCTTGTTAAGACCCAAATGCAGTAGTAAACAACAATGTCCAAGAAAAACTGAGTGTTGTTTCATAGTGTCCTCATCATGAAAAAGAGTATTGTTCACTGAAAAACTGATTCGCCATATTTCCCACACAGCCATCATATCTCAAAGTCACAAAGTGTATTTTACTGTAAACTCTGAAACTTGAGGGGACAAGAATTTCACTTTAAACTCTTTTCTGTGTAATAAAAATTTAGTTCTGACTAAAGTATTTAAATGTGAGATGAATAATCAATGAAGCAGTGTATTAACTAGACTACACCTTTTGTAGCACAAATATAAGGAATTATTCTTTCACTTGACAAAATTAAGATCTAGCTGGTGAAACATACAGATTTAAGTGTTATACACTGCATGGTCAAAGACTTAAGTGCTAGTTCAGAGAAGTCTGAGAGAAATGGAGACTGGAAATAATCAAAGAGGGCTCCACAGACGACAGAAGACTGCCAGACCTCACCAGACACCAGGGGTCACCTATCGGCTTGATTTTTAAGTCGCAACAAAAAATATGTGTGTAACTCTAGACTCTTTAGAATGCTAAGACTGTCTTAAGAAACTTTCAGAAACACTGAAAGGAATAGCCACTTTCTATGAAAGAAAATAGTTTGATAGCCATGTCTCACTACTTAGCTACTTTTAGCAAAGGTCTCTTCTTTAATCCACTACTTACACTCTTTAAACAAGTAAATGAAAACTAAAAGTGAAACCCCTTTTTAAAAAACGGTAACTGGAAATGAGGCAAGTAAAAAATTATGAATGACGTTAGCATGTTTACTAAAAACAATCTATACATGTTACATCTTTTATTACTTGTTAGAATTCATGGATTTCATCAATTTGTTTCCCCCTAAACTTCATCTGTTTGCTACAGCAAATAAATGGTATGTATTTTTAAGGTAAAAACTCCAAAGTCACTTCCTATTTATAAAACTCTATGTGTATCATCTTTACCATTTCATAGACTACTATGACACCAGCAATGACTTCCATGTTCTTATTTAATATCAGAAAATGAAAACAAACACTGAGCCAATTTGAGCAAATTTGGTACAGCGTGTTACTGGCTGAATAACATATCCAACAGTGGCTTTCTCTCAAAGAGAATCTGGAAGGAGTTCATTTTTCCATGGTGACAACATTCAGTTTTAATTATATCACCAAAAAAGATTTCTCTCAATTAAATAAGCTCACAGCATTGAACACACTATGGTGAGATCCGGAAAAAACATCATTCTCTAGACATCTGAGGACTCACATTCAATGCATATGCCTAGCTTAAAGGAATGCAAATATACAGATTCAGGACTAAGGACTATGTGTGCCACAGGGACATGTGCCTGCTCTGATGCAACAGGAGAGAACATTCTGGTATTCAAGGGCCAAGGAATTCAAGGACACCTGGAAGAATAATGCATTTCATAGCCCTTAAAACAAGTGAAAATAATAGTCCAAAATATGATAAAGGTATGGCTTACATCATTAGAAGAAGATCATACAAGAAAACACATCTATCTCTAACTCAGCTTCCTCAGAAACTAAAATAAATCCTCACATTCTCACAGAAATCAAGAACTGGCAGTCAACCAGAATCTGATTAAAACAAAAAATGGGCAAAATAGCCAGGAACTAACCATTTGGTTAGGCAGGACACGGGAATCTAAGTTTGAATTTCTTCAAACTAAATAACAGATAAGCACAGATACACTCAACTGGCACACAAGGGAGTTTTTAAAGAGGAACGAAAGGCAATGTAAATCCAAAGCGTGACGTCTTCAACCATCATCATTCAACTACTCTGATTATTAAGCTAACCATCCATTCTTTGTTTGCAACATTATCACCCATTGTATGAAGGAAACTGATATGTTCCAAAAAAGCTTTATATTAAATGGAAACAAAACAAGTCCTAGAACAGGATTCATTCGGATTTTTAAAAACCATACTTTTTTTTGGAAAAGGCCCAAAGCAAAAGTGATTTAACAAATGATTAATCTGATATGGTATGAATTTCAATAGAACCTCTGAAGAAATTCTTACTAACTCTCCAAAATTCTGTGTACAATATATTCATGTTTTGCAACTAATACAATTAAGAGGAAATGTCAGCTTTTAAATTTTAGAGTTATCAATAAATATACTGTAAGACTAGATGCTTCTAAAAACAAAAGAACACTGGGAACATTCAATTTTTATCCATGTTTGTATCAAATCTGGCTTAAAATTACATTTAGACATTGGCCATTAAACAAAAAAATTTAAACGAAAAAGCTTTAGAGTCAAGTAACATAAGTTCTAGATTCTGTTCCTCACTTTGCCATTAATCATGCAGTCTTTTATCATATCCTCTCCTTTCTGAGGCTTAGTTTTCTCATCAAGAGGTATTTATAAAATTAATTTGGAATCACTTTTTTTTAACATTTTTTTATTGATTTATAATCATTTTACAATGTTGTGTCAAATTCCAGTATAGAGCACAATTTTTCAGTTATACATGAACATATATATATTCATTGTCACATTTTTTTCTCTGTGAGCTACCATAAGATCTTGTGTATATTTCCCTGTGCTATACAGTATAATCTTGGAATCACTTTTAAGTCAAAGAAATCAAATCATAAAGAACAGGAGTCTGGGAGATAAAAATTAAGTCATCCCTTTTGGTTACCTTAATTTCTATTTCATTTAATTTTCTGTTTCACTTTTCACCTACTTCTCAGTTCTATACAGAAATAAAACTGTACTTCGGTCAACAGCAACTACAACAAAAAACAGTAATGGAAAGAACATTGAACTTACAATCAGAAGAACTATATTCAAATTCTGGCTCTTCTATGTAATCTTGAAAAAGTTACACCTCTGGGTCTCAGCTTCCCCATCTACAAAAGATGAACAATAACACCCCCCCTTTCAGAAAGCTCTGGGGGGGGCTCATAGAGATTAAGAGAAATCATATATTTAATGCAAGTAAAATACATAGCATATGACAATTGCTCAATAAATATTAATTTAAAAAAAACACAGAGTTTGCTACTTCTTCACATTCTGCTTCCGTATCTACTGGTTTCTTCCAGCACTCACTTAAGATTTAATAAAACTGGACTTTTCAACAAGTTAATATCTTTCACTGACTTTCTGACACAATATAAAATTATTACTGTACATGCTTGTCTAACGCAATTCTATTATCTGCAAATATAACAACTTAAAGAGGCTCAAGAAATCACATTTTCTAAGTCCCAGGGGTAAGAGATCTCCATTCTTTCTGGACAGTAAAAACAGTAAGGCTGGCATTCAGAGCACAAAGAACCAACAGGTCAACAGGCACCAAATCATAAAGAACTTGGTAAACCATCTAAAGGAATTTGCAGTTTAACCTGCCAGCAATGGAAAACAGGTCAAATGTTTTAAATTTGAATTTGCTTTTCGGAAAGATCACGCTAGCTGCAATATAATAGAGAGGGATAAAACTTGCTTTGAAGACGAAGAGTTACTGCTGCACTGCCGGTAAGAGACGATGGCCTCTCATTACTACTTCTGAGCGTCTTTGTTTAATGGCTGTCTCCCCTACCACTCTTCAAGCTCCCTAGAACAAGAACCACATCTATGTATCCATCACCATATGATGCGGAGCATAGTGTCTGTCAGATAGAATATCTTCAATAAATATACGATGAAAGGTAACAGTGGTGAGAATGGTAATAATGAGATAAATATGAGAGCTATTTTAGACATACAATAGATAGGACTTGGTGTTCAACACACCAAGCTGATAAAAATGCAACATAGATCATGATACAGGTTTTACACAAAGGTACTTTGAGAACAAAAGTAAGGAAAAAGCAATTTGAAATACTAAAAGCCCTCTATATAAAGGACAGGGACTACTACTACAATACTGATGCCCAGTGAGGTCATCAACAGTTTTGGATTCTAATTGTGAGATAAATCATTCTCCGCTTAACCAGAATTAACAAATTTAGATTTTGAAAAGGGAGGAGGTTTCACACCAGTCTTAAGCAGGACTGGATTTTAAAGAGACTTTAATGGTCCCATAAGTAGATATCTAAACAGAGAAACAGTATACTAAAACTATTTGAGATAGTATGAAGTTTGTTTCAACTGAGAAAAAACTGCAGACAGGGGAACCAAATGTGATGCTACTGCAGTAAATCTGGCTGCGCAGTGACAAGAAGTTCAGCTAAAATGATGAGAGTTTTGAAAAGAAAAAGAAAATATAAGGCATTATAAGAACAGTAAGTCATGGTAATTAATGAAATGTGTAAGGTGGAAGGCAAGAAAAAGACACAAGTGACTATAACTTTCCAAGCAGAGTGATAAGGAAAGAGAAGAAGCAAGCATGGGGGGAGGGAGAAGGAAAATGAGAACATAAATGAAGCAAAACAGGAACAGAGCATAATCTGGTCTCAGAGACGTTATAACTTGGAAAATATGTTCACAAAATGGCACCAGAAAACTCAACAAAAACTGTTCCACGTGAATGGCCAATCACCCTTTGCCTGTATCAGTGAACCAACTCATCACAAAAGTTGATGAAATACGGGTCTACCTCCTGCTGTTTCACTTTTTGTATTTAAGCAGTTGTAAAACAAAGGCTTTTGTAATTGACAAAAAAGAAAAATAATTTGGCTTCCTAACCTAGAAATAGAGAGTAGGGTTCCTAAACCAAGTACACTGTCTTATAGAGATTTGTTTTGATGAATATTTAGGTCTATTGGCAACTTTCTCAAGATCGCACCAAGAACTGATCTCAGATCTCAGGGGCATACACAGACCTCTGGATTCCTCATGAAATAAATGCCCTTCACTATTCTATATCATCTTCATTTACCATAAAATTCCATTTACCAGAAAACTTCATTCCCAGTCAATCTGGTTAATTAAGACTTTACTAAAACACATTACTCAAAGGTAAGTAGATCTGTAGTATTTACGGATAAAATCATCTGATGTCTGGGCTCTGGCACTTGAGAGACAATAGAAAGAGGTATTGGAAGGGATAAAGATGAAACAGGAGTATAAGTGTGATGGATGGTATGCGCCCACATTCATCTCAGGAATAAAGGACTTTAAATCCCAGCTGCTGCTAAGAGCACTGGGCTGTCAGCCCCCACTAAGGACTACTCCAGCCAAAGGGAGATACCTTGCCCCCTTCCAGTGGGACAGCCCACATCCAATGACTACTCAATTTGGGAATATACAGTCAAGGCCAGGCCCCTTCATATCAATTCAGGATGGTTCTGAAGGGTCATTCCATCTTTGGAGCTGCCCCCAGGGTCAGCTGAGATTCCACTGATACTCATCACAGCTCAACTTCTCCCTCCGGCCAACCCTGCTTCCTTCCCCAGGCGTTGGTACTAAGAGCTCTCCCTGATAAATCTGAGTGCTAATCTCCATCTCAGAGTCTGCTCACCAGGGAACCCAAACTGTCAAAGTAAGTGTTAAAGCTCTTTTTCTAACAAGTACAACAGTGTTCATTACATTATTCTTACTATTTTTATATGTCTGAAAATTTCCCTAATTGTTAAAGGTACATGGAAAGAACTTTAATGTCCAAGAATCAGAGATTAAATAAATTACTACAGTCTTAACAACAAAACACTGCAGCATGAGATAGGAAATAATCTCTAGAACCAATGGAAAAGGTAGAGTACAGTGTGCAAAATACACGCCCATTTTAGGTTTTAAAAGAGAGATATATATTTATCTACACACATCTATACATACACACACACACACACACAAACACAATGTTTAGAATAATTCTGTAATGATACCAAATTTAAAAAAAAACAGTAATGATGACAACCTCTGAAAAAGGAGAGTAAGAGAAGCAAGAGACTGGATTGAGTGGGAATCCTAATTCTCAAGATAATCTTTTGGTCTTGAGAGGTTTTATTTCCCCTGCCTTTGGGTATTTTGCTATATTCCAAAAGACAGCTTAATAAAAAAATTAAGTAAATGGCCCTGATTCACCAGGTTCTTTTATCTTAAAGATGCACATATGTACACACACTGAGTTTTCAAAAAGCATTTAGTGAGTATTTCTCTTTAGTCTATAACTTATTTCAGCACTAGCTCCCCTCTGCTGTGAGGGCCCTGTCCCAAAGTCCGGCACTCACTACTCCTGCTACTGTATTTTCACTACATACCACTGTAGAACACTCATCATTTTGTGTGCAGTTGTTTGTTTATAAATCCATCCATTTCACTAAAATCTGTGTCCCTCGAGGGTAACACCAGATCATCTACGGAAGCCCATCATCTTTGCTATTTAATTATCAAGCAAACTGCATTCCACTGGGATTTGCGATGGTTTATCAGCACCTAGAATAGTTACAGGCTGTTACCAGTGACCAATAGTGTATTCATTGAATGAATGAACGAAGAATAACAATAACTACCATTTAAGCTCTCACTGTGTTCCAAACAAGATATTTCCAAAGAAGAAATACCTCCTCTTTTTTGTTAAATCTAATTCCTCCTGGACTCTGAAGGATCTTACTCCCTTAACCATTCTCTCACTGACTGCCACTTTATCTTTCTATTGAATTAGCCTTTGCCCCTTCCAACATGTTTACATCTCGTTTTTGTCCAAACTCCTTCACTTGTTACTGGCCCCTGCTTGTAAATCTAGTAATCTCTCTCTCTCCCTCTCTCCTTCTCTCTCTCTCTCTCATTCTAATTACAATCAGCATTTTGAAATCTGTGGTCTTTAACGCAAAGTTTCTATTTTCTCACTACAAAAGGCTTCATGTAATCTAGGTTCTATTTTCAAAAGACCTAATCTAATGACACTAAAGATCTCCCTCTACATGAAGAGGTCGACAATTTCTCTAACATGCTACTCCAGGGAAGAACTCTCTAGTACTACAGAGAGAAGTAATGCCTTGGGAGAGACGTGAGGACGCTTTGACATTAATGGACAGTTGATACCTACTCTTTCTAACCATGTTATTCAGTCCTTACATTATATTCAGTCTTGCACAGCTACCAGTTTGACATGGCTGATCATTTCCTAATCCTCAACCCCCTCTTTCAGCGTACTCTTCCAATTATGTTCTGCCCAGAAGTGTGAAGGCCTAGGGAGCCCTAAGAAAAATTCAAAGAACAAGGGAGGATCTTTCACTAGATTTGGAGTATTTTTTAAATTTGATTGTTCTTTTAATAAAAAGCTTAAGATGAAATTTACTTTTCTCCTTATGATTCTCCCCAACTTTTTATTACAAAAATTTTAAATATACAAAAAGCTCAAAAATAATATAAAGATCACTCAATATCAATAAATATTGTGTCAAACTTCTCTTGTCAATATATGCATAGGTATATATATATACACACATACACATATAGAGACTTTCTTGCTGAGCCATTTGAAAATAACCTACACATATGATAATTCCTCTTTTAATATTTTAAAATACGGAGATTATAATTAAGAGCATCCTCCTTCATAAACACAATACCATTATCACAATCACCACTATTAATACCATAATAATTCTCTAACAGCATCTACAATCCAATCCAAATTCAAATTACTTTGTCTAAAAATTGTTCCACATTTTTGATTTATCTGATTTTATTTATGTCATTGTCTTGTTCACCTCTCTCCTGCTTTTCCTATAAACTGGAAGTTGGATCTAAAGACATCCTCAGGTCCAAATGAAACAATTTTGGTAGGTGAGCTTCACAAAGGATGCTGCACGCGTCACACTGCATCACGACAGGTGGCACATAACATCACGTTGTCCTGCTATCAGTGATGCTACCTAGGACCATCTGATTAAGGCAGTGACTACCAAAGATTCCACCGAAAATATTTTTCCCCTTTAAAACACTTGAAAACCTACGTAGT